GAAATATGGAAGCAGAACGGCTATTTGGATGTAATAACAGCAATAGGCAGGGCTATTCTTAGGGGGGAAATATTTTAATATATCATTGTCAGGAAGTGACAGAAACCAGTTATGTTCTCTAGTAACTCCCAGAATACTCTTTTTCCCAAGGCATGAAAGAAATACAAAGATCATATGTGTTTTCTGGCATCCAAGAATAGAACATAGGGGAATTTTACATCAACCTTTTTTCCTCATTCTCTATTCCCCTTCTTTTCAGGAGAGACTACAGATAAAACAATATAATAAATACAGAAATCCAAGCTTCCCATCTCAAACTGCTGATACAATTCAGAGGTTATGGAATTTTTGAAGTACCTACTAAATATAGCTCTCCCAGTTACTCTACTCCTTTGCATAAATTTTTCTATTCTAGAAGATTCACAGGGCTTCAATAAGAAAGCTGCAAATAAACAGTGATTGTCCTCTGACCAAAGAAACTTTAGATTATGTTTGTAAAACAAAACCCGCATTTATTTCAAAACAGTAGATCATAAAGCTTAGAACTCCCCACTTCAAACCTGAATGCCTTAGGCTGTGCATTCCCTGTGATGAGCCTTTATTGTTGAAGTCCCAGATTGCATAACTCCTATGCAGCATTTTAATTTTCCTTTAGTCCTTTCAAACAGCTTGGCAGGCAATTCTCCAAGAGAATGCAGATAAATGCAAAAGCAAATTAAGAATCTATCTGCAGTTCAGATTTTCTCTCAGTATTTGTTACATGAATATTAATGCACTTAATGGCATCCATTATTCCCACTAGAGTAACACAAGGTGGATTCACCATCAAAAGATCTCCAAAGGTAAGTTTTCATTAGAAAATAAAAATTGAGTTTTCCCATCTTCCATTACCAAAAGATGCATTTAGTAGGACTATTTATAGAACCATTTGAATATTCTCATAAGCATTTCAAATACTCAAGGACTAAGGAAGACTTCACTGACTTACTTGTCTGTGGGCATCTCTGAGGTAAGTATCATAACCTGTACCCTCCACATGGTATGATGACTTAGCTTCATCAGGTACAAGACAGAGAAAACTAAAGAGAAAAAAAGTACATTAATGAATATCTATAATCCACAGAGCACCAGATCAATACTTTCTCATCATCGGTAACAGTGTACACAATACTGAATTGTCTGGCCAATTAATCCACAGATTCTACCATAACTTTATGCGAAGAACAGAGAATACAAAATCTATTTAAGCACACCTATTCTAACTACTGTTTGTAATAAGAAGATACATACTTCAGAACTTTTGTATCTAACACTAGAGGTAAAAACCTCAGTGGAAGCATTTTCTGAGAATTAGCAGACAGAATGGAGACGAAAAGCAATATTCATAACCAGGCCAAGTATTTGCTAAAGGTCAGACTCCATCTTACTAGAGCATATGGAGAATTTACTGGGCAATAAATGAGCCAAAAGAGAAGGAGAATTACAGTTAACATTTTCCTTAACCTACTGCACAGGCAGTTTTATTTACCATAGTTTGTTGTGGTAAAAAATGAACATTTAAGAACATATAGGCATATTTGCATATAAATGTCCCAGTTACAAATATCATTGCCTTTGCCAGGTATGTAGTGCAAATACTGTATGTCCTTATTACTCCACCAATATCTGACCTAAAAAGCATCAGGAAATTCTGAATCTTATTAGAGAGGAACTGTCTTTAAAAAATAAGTATAAAAACCTAAAATTTCTGGACAGCAAAATAAAACTCAGTCTTTGGACCCTGTTTCCAAATTTCAGCTTTCTCCACACCCCGAGAACTGCTGGAGGCTCCTGCAAGATCTATATGCAGAAACATGTAGCAGCTGACTTTGTATGGAGTTCATCTTATCTGAAAAAATACAAATTTGCAAAACACTGCAAATCCTGAAAACATTTCTATTCACTGATGGAGATTACACGAGGTGAATTTAGGAGAGTGTTCTTTGCACCTTTGCTCCAAACCACGCTCACCTTAAACTATATATAGCAGTACTGGGGGAAAGAGGGCAAGAACCGACTATGCCATTCTATGCTGACTGTCCACAGGCTGTTTGCTTCCTTTGGCTAACAAACACCTTTGATTATTTCTGGATAAGTAGATAGGCCAGCACTGAAATACCAGTGCTGCTTTGCTACTGTGTATTAACAGAGCAAACAGCATTTGTCCTAATATTAGTTGCTAAGAGAATTACCATCGCTAAGTTGCTTAGAGCAGAGCCTGTCCTCTTTGTGATATCCAATTTGCAGTACATCTAACATGCACAAAGGTATGTTACAGGTGACAGAGAAGTCCCTTGATTTTCAGGGAACAGAAGGTTATCTCTAGCGTGGCAATTATTTACTCTTATATATGCGCTTAAGGAACTTCAGGAAGTTTGAGGTTTTTTTTCCCCTAAAACGTTTATGGCAAGACTCCCCAAACCTTCTCCAGGAAGGTCAAGTCCTTTAACAGCAGTTTAAGTACAGCAAATATTTTTGAGAAAAGAAAGTTTTATAATCAATAAGGCTCTCATCATGAATTCTGAGTATTCAACTAGAGTATTAGCTGTAAAGTTCTTCTATTTTTCTCATTTATGTTGAATTATTTTTACTTATTGTAAGCTCTAATCTTTCAGGAGTAGCTTTCTGATAAAATGCCACATAATTTCCTTCTGTGGAGTCATTTGACCAGCTGGCACAGAATAATATCCCTTACAGCGTACACTTGATTTGCACAGTATGTGCAGACACCCACACATTCAGAGATTTCTTTAAGTGTTTGTTTCAACTTACCTATTTACAATTTTATGAACTTCAGTCTTCCCATCATTTTTTGGATGTTCTGGACTGACAGGTGGAGAAGCACTGAGCCACTCTTGAGTTGACAACGTGTTATCTGGAGACAGATCAGTAAATAACGGATCTTCCTCTAGGTCTCTGTGAGATTATATTAGACAAAAACATAATCATTCACAGAATGTTATGGAAGGCAGGAAAATCTCTGGGTCAAAAGGCATGCTTTCTCTTTTTCTTCTCTGAACAACTAGGATGTTTTCCAGAACACTACCATATGCACATCTTTTTACCTAATTAATATGCAGAAATAACAACTTTTACAAATACTCAACAAACTTTGTTTTGAAGAAAAATCATAACTTCTTGATCTGAACAACAGAGTAGACATTTTTGACTTGTACAAAATCACTGCATTAAATCACTTAAACTCTTTAGCCACATTTTTTACACGAGAGAGAGTTACACTCCAGGAAATCATTAGATTATTTTAGATGACTCAGAAATATCTAAATTAAGATGCCTAAAATAGCTGGTGTGACTAGTCCTTACCCCTCCATCAGTAAAAAAAGGAGTTACAAGAGTTACGTAGGGTATTTAAAAGGATTTTATGCAAAGTGTCCCAGAAAAGTTCTTCCATCAAAAAATGATTCAAAAACATAAATGTAAGCAAGACACCTAAGTGAATGACTTCAAGAATAATCTCATTGAAAACAATACAAATATGCATAGACTTAAGCTAGGTAGATACGTAAGTAAATTGATATATGACAACCTTTGAGTGCCTATTGTTCTAGAAAGAGGCTTTTGATAATTTTAGCTTTTCTATTACTGCTCTAAAAATTTTCATAAGTTGCTGATACAATAATTTCTGCATCACTTTATGGATACGGATTAATACATAGAGCACTCAAATTGCTATCTATGCTCACTTACTGAAAAAAAAAAACCCCTGTTTTGTTCTAAAAATAAGGATCCACGTTAGCTGTTGTGAAAACTTCCCTTAAAAAAGAAACTTACACTGCTCCTGCAATTTGTCCATTCTCTACCACATCTTTATCTTCTTGACAGAGAGGCTTGTATTCCATATAGTTTCTTTCTTCTAAATTTCTCAGAACCAAGTTATAAAGAATGTGCTCATTGGGTTTTTGCAGAAGGTGCTCAAACATTCGTAAAGTCATTATGCTGATCTGCAACATAAAAAGTAAAAATTCAATAAACCGATGCACTGCTGCCGCCGTATGTTTTTTGCCTTATATCTGGTTTGTACATCCTAGAACACTGTAATTACTTATTTACATTATGGAAGGAAGCAAAAATCCTAAGAAAAATTAGGAAACTGTTATGCTGAATGTGGTATAATCCATGCTGAATGGATGAAGAGTTCACACACATTTGAAAATCAATATGTGGATGTATTTTTTTCCTGTAAAACAAAAATTGTTCTAAAATCTGCCAAAATAACAATACAAAGAACATCCAGAGAACTTACAACTTAGCTTTCCATATTACAATTAGATCCATGCTGGAAGATGGTCATCGTTGTGCAAGTGAGACACAGAACAGGACTTAAAGTTAGTAATAAATACCCACAATAAAACAAAGTAATACTGGGATATTGTGACTAGAACTACAAGCTAAGATTTTTACATGGAGATATTATGTATGCTTTTAAAAGGTGACTGACTTTAAGCAATAGAGACAGTTTTTAAAGACAGTTTTAGAGTGCTTAGCTTTGCAAAGATCAACTAATTTATACAGATAACTGATTTTGACAGGGTGAGCAGGTAAGCATACTGAAAAAATTGATATGTGAAGGCATAGATCTGCATTTCAGGCAAGCTTCTTTTTTATTTGAAAAAGTAGAGGGTGGAGGTTGTTTGTTTCATGGAAAAAGTGAAACAAGCAGCTCCTGAGGAGGGATTTTACTGAAGTCAATTATTTTAACAACGTTTACTGTGTGTAAAGTGCTTAAAGTTATTATAACATCTTTTAATTGGCATTGTGTAGGTCAGGCATCTCTGACCACAGTTACTTTATATAAAAAACATAAACAAAAAGTTTTTAACTATACCTTATGTGATAACATGACAGAATTGACACAACATGGAAAATGACAGCGATACAACATATAACAAAGCATGAGTTAAAATGCAATTACAGAAACTGATTTTGCCCTATCTTAGAGATGAGCAAGTCCAACTAGATATGCATAGCGGGCAAGCAAATTTAGCAAAGAATCTTTATTAATGGGAACAATGTGCTAGCTGGGGAAAACAGCTTGACTTTCATTTTCTAAAGGGAATTTGTAGGGCTGGCAGTCAGAAGTCTTTTCCTTGGCAAAAAAAGTTAGCTGACACAAATATGAAAAGACTTCACAATGGCGTTTTTACAGACTTTATGCAAGACAGAACTGGCCAGCAGACATTATTATATCATTACCACTTCTCACCTCATCAGAAATATGATCACAGTGTTCGATTAACCTGTGTCGCAATGGATGTCTGTTGATGTCTGTCAAAGTTTCTGGCTCTCTGTGTTCTCCAAGTATAAAATAAACTGTTTCCTGCAGCAGGACATCTGAAGTCACTTGACGCACAATGCGATGCAACAGTGCAGTTGATGTGAGGATTCCAATCTCTGAACTGACCAAAAAATTTCATGTCAGATATGTAGTGGATTTCAGCTGAAAAAAAATCAGCTTGATTCAGATTCTGTTCTGCTGGGTCCTGTAGGATGCTACTTACGTTTGCATCAGCTGGGGTTCCATCACATCAATGAAAAATCGTTCCCGCACAGCTTTTGCCATAGCAACAGCAGCAGTCTGAAACAAAAGTACAAAATGGTATGTCTCAAACTCAAAAGCTAAGAAACAACTGGAACTACTTATTTGCTGAATATATTTGTATCATCTGTAAACATTACAAACCTTTTGTGCTTCTTTGATGAGTTGATCACAGTAGTCAAACCATGAAAGAAACGAAATCAATGCTCTTTTTCCTGGAAAAGCAGATGCATCTTCTTTGTGGCTATAGGAATCCAAACTAGAGAACACAGGGAAAAATACTTATTTAGTCTACAAGTAATTGAAGAATCCTGGACTTTACTCTTACTGAACTTAACAGAATAATTAATGATCTACTTGCAATGAATTGAACATTAAAATAGCTTTTCTGCTGGTCTCTACTAATCTGGCAGTGCTATTATTACACAGGTTTTCAGTGGCATGCTAAAGGATACATAGTATGTCCAGCAGAAGAACTCTGTTTGGTTAAGTATTTCTTGAGTCAGAAGGGAAAACTGATCACCTAGCCTGTTCTCCCAGGAAACACAGGCCACAGAAACTGAATCAATAACCCCTGTAGTCAGAGAACCATAAAATGAAGGCAATTGTTCTTCTCTACTCTGTAAGCAACCTCAATCAAGTCCACCAAAACCACAGTGTACACCTGAACTAGATTGTATCTTTCAGAAAGAAACATGTATCCCAAATTAAAGGCTCTACGGAATAAAAAATTCACCATTTTCTTTGGTGAAACAGTCCAATAATTATTTATGCCACTATTCAAAGTTGTGTTTTTTTCCCTTCTAACTTCAAACTCCAACCACCAGAAATCTTGGTAGTTATTGTGCATATACCTACTTTTTGTCTCAGTACTAACAGATCACAAGCAATTCATAATAATGAAGGCAGAGTGGGGAAGAGAATTGTTTTGAGGATCTAACATGCAAGCGGTTAGGATAACAGGCATGTACCTTTTGCTTCATGCTAATGAGTTATGCAGTAACTCTTTCCTTCTTCTTTTTTACTGCAAAAATTTTGCAACAACAGCCTGTTACCAGACACCCTTCCTGCCTCCTGCAGCAGCCTACAGTGTTCACGGTGTACAGTGAAAATTTTATGATGTTTCCTAAATCCTTAACATCTGAACAAGAAAATAATTTGTACCTGATACTACAGCTACACTGCTACAAATTGCTAACATAATGCAGTGGAAAAACCTGCCCCCTGAGGAATCTCTGCAAGGGACTGGCAGCCAAACCTGGCCCCATGTCAGAAATCGCACGTACATTGGACACCCGAAGTCGTACCACTATGCTGCAGCTGGGATCTCAGCTCTGCTCGTGAGACTTCAGCATGGGGGTGTGAATATTTTATACATCTTATCTACCTATAGAAAATTAGTTTCAGGCAGGGGTGTAAAGTCACCTTGGGTATTAAATACAAAAATAAAATTCTTACCCCCAGTTAATTGCCTCCACTGTTTCAATGTCTAAGGGATCCAGTGACTGAGGCAGGGCTTTGTAGAGGGTGGCCAGCCTGTCTGTCAACAGTTCACATAAACAAGTGCTTTGAGTCAGGCACTTGGCAGCTGCTGGTTCTGGCAAACTCACCAAAAGCATGAGGCCTTCACAGGCCTTCACTGCTATCCGGCCGTCCTGGCAGAAGGGCATGGAAGAATTAATCAGAGGGTGAATGAAGCTCACTTGAACTCAAGAATCAAACATCTCCCAAATAAAACCTCTCCATTCCCCCACAGTGAGTGAATGCATTTATTTTTGTTGCCTTTCCAGTGATTACAATTAATTTCTACTGAATTTGGATAGTACAAAATAAAGAATCTCACCTGAATCCATGTCAAATACTAAGAATGCAACTGCAATCTTCAGGTTGACAGAACTAGTGCTGTAGGTCAGCTTAAGACCAAGATATTAGACAATGTAAACTATCACTTAACAATAACAAGGTACCTAGCTAGATTCAGTTTTCTGCTCTCAACGCTGCTGTAGCAATTACAGGCTTACCCAACCTTCCTCTAAGTTTTCTGAAAGAATCTGAGTATGAATTCGAGGATGGAGCTGGGTTAGACATACAGCAGTTGTTTTTAAAAGAAATCAAACCCCTAGAGAGAGCCCAGTGCCTTTACAAAAAAAGTGGGTTTGGTTAAGTCAGTACAATTGAAAGTAGTTTTTAAAATATTCTCTTGTGGTATATTTAACCTAACGATTATCCTATGTATCTTGTCTGTGAAACATGTGGCATCCTATACAGAGTGCTGAAAAAACACCTACATTACAATCAACAAACTTAATATTAATTTTCTAGAATAATATTTTTACTTTAATCTGAATTGGCAAAGAAAATTGCCAATTTACAAAAGCTGCCTGCAAAACAAACCCCATTTTACTTTTTATAGCTAAAATATAGTGTGTACATACATGTATATTCACTCCTTCTGCTCACTTCACACAGCATCCAACCTATTTCATTTTATCACATTAAACAGAACAAAAAAACCAACTCACGGGACTTTTAGTGAGGTTTAGTAGAGAATTCACTAAATTATAGTCTTGATTTGGACAAACAGTGGAGGACTCGGGTGATGATGTGACATTTAGTTCATCCAGACTGAAAGAGAGATCATCCGTCTGTTGCGGGAGGTCATCTTCCTTCTCCATTTGCTCTGCTCCAGCAGCACTAGGTATTTCTTCAGGTTGAATGGGCTGTCCCGTGTCTGTTGTCAAAGAGTCTTGGCCTTTTAGCATGTCTTCTGTGATTACGCTTGCTGATCCTTTGGAAGCCATTGCTTTTAACTTACTCTGCAAATCATTTTATTGGAATTACGTGGTTGAAATTACTGTTCATCCTGAAGCAGAAATTTACTAAAAGCAAATTTTTTACATCAGCATTTGAAGTAGTTCTCTACAAGGCTGGATACAGTAACCATGCAGAATGTCATGGGTTGAGGGAGCATGGGAGTTTTTAAACCTAGAACATTTTTTAATCTGCTTAAATTTCTCTTAAGCCCTGTACCATTTTGCTTCAAGGCTGAGTATGCCATTTATGAAGAGATGGCATCTTTTTCTCTCCACCACTGAAGGCACACATTCACTTGATTTGCCCACTATTTGACAGAAGTTTTTCATTTACCTTATGAGTCCGCCTTTAGACCTTAGCACATACTATAAAACATCCCTTTTCAGGTCAAGGCCTGAAATTCATCTAATGTTTGAAACACTGTTTCCACTTGGAGTCATACAATTAAACTCTTTCTAAACTTCCTGAGATTTTATCTTCAACAGGAAAGGGGAAAAAACATCTTTTATGACAGCAGAGTACTCTCAAGTTGTGTTTCTCATGAAGAAAAAGTTGATTAGATTGAATGGACAGAAGATACTAGAAGTTAGCATTGGGCACTGGATACTATAACAGATCACAGAGAACCTTCTCGGAAGCTACAAAGCATCTCTACTTAGCCTGAAAGCAAGCAACCCATCTGTCTTCCCATAAATCTGTCCCCAGCACATAAAAAGACATTTAAATTTGTGCTCTGTGATACCAAGAAGAAACTCACAGCAAGGCAAGAATTCAGTGTTCTTCTGGCATACGCACAGGTGAATAATACTTTATTAGAACCATAAATTAGCCTTCAGCACAAGACATTTTTTCAAGTGAGTACGGTAGTGAGATTATAAATCCAAATGGTTTCCCTCCTCTATGATAACACCAAAATTATTACAAATATATCTCAAGCATTAATAATTTAAAACAGCAACCATGTGGGGTTAATGGCGTTTAGTACATACAAACCAGCTGGGACTAACTACATGACAGTCTCAGGCAGCAAACTAGAGAACTCCTGTGAATGCTTGATGTGCATTCTTTGTTGAGAATTTGTACCGAATGTTGTGATACATTCATACAATCAGTTCCCCGGAGAGGCAACCCAGTGGTAGAAGCAGCACACTGCATGCTATAAAGTAAGTACGATTTTTGACTACAGTAGAAAAATTACTCCTTCAACATATGGGGTTTTTTGACAGTGTGAAATGCATAAGGCTGCAAAGCAACCAAAATGTGTCTATCTGAACCGTGTCTGTCTATCCCTAAATCTTCTGAAGTCCTCCGGTATCCTCCCATATATTTTATCAATGCACTGGAATATCTGAATCACAATGATGAGCCTGGCACATAAAGCAGAACTAAAGGCTGGAACTGCATTTCAGTCCTGGATTATACACTGTTGCTGGCACTACTCAAGTAGCAGGCAGGGTTGCCAAAGAGAAAAGCTATTTTTTTCAAAAATTAGATAATATTTTGTAAAATACCTATTTTATCTTACACTGGCCTATTACCTCATGTCTGGACTCTTCTGTCATTTGAAAGGACATAGTTTGTTTAGCTAAGGCATTGATGAGAAGACCTAACATATGTAAGTGTATAAATACCCCTAGAAATTTGTCCATAGCTCATTACTCTTATATTGGCAGGTGACACAAAGCAGTCTGTACACTGAACAACACATAGGCAGAGTTTTTGCCTGTATTTAAGCTTCCTATTGTCTAATCATGCAATTCTGCAGCTTAGCTGCTCACCTGCCTCCTGTAAAGGTGCAAAACAGGATCCTGAATGACCTAATAGAAAAGGTTACATAAAACAGATATTCAATGCTTTCTAGACAAAGTACTCCTCTATGTGAATTCAGCATCAACAGAGAGCAGACGATATAAAAATCCATTTTCATATCTTTGTGATATATAACTATCAGAGTTTCAAAATCTGTGGTGGATGATGTCATGTTTAAGTTCAGATAAATTAAAAAAAAAAATCTGTGAAAAAATCAAGTGATATCATAGCTAATGAGAATTTCTACTTAATTCATGGTGGGAAATATAAAGCTGGTAATTTGTAGTAATGAAAGTAGAAGTGAAGAGTGAAACTATTGTTCATCTTGTAAAATGAAGATACAACTTTTTAACAGACACTATATTAGAACTTGTTTAAGGTCTCAAAAGCAGAAATTGAAACACAGAGAATCAAGTGTCCCTTTGCATGGAACAATCAGCTGCAAGGAGTATCTCGCATAAGATGGGATGAGATGAGATGGGGCAACTAAGGAACAAACGAATAAGGAAAAACATGAGGTAACAGGTTTAGCACAAAATAATGACTGAGATAGAGGTGATCATAAGTCAAACATTCCTATGTATGTCCTTTCTCTCTACACAAGAACAAGGAAAACTCAGTTTAAAGAAAAGAATAAATTAAAGCCAAAATAAAATTAGTATACGGATTTTAAAGGTTTAAAAAAGTAGAATGCAGTTCTTCCAGTCCTTACTTCCACAACAAAAGTAACTTGCCCAAGAGATACAGTTATGCCATACAGCCTTATTGGTTAAGCAATACAGGTGAAACATTTTACTAAAATATAAACAGCATTCTGTCAACAAACTATTTGATATGAAATCATACAAAGGAAACCCTGGGTTTGTGTATAGTTTTTTATGTTCATAAAATACTGTAGAAACTGATCAGGAAAAGTCAAACAAGGAAGCAAAATTAACAGATACAGACTGCTTTGGAGAGATGTATCTGCATTTCAGCATGTATCTGTTGGAGATTTGAGAGATAAATGCCACACAGAATTCTGTAAATTTACCCTTTCATGCATTTGAAGGTCAGAAACAGCTATTGTCACAACAATAGCACCTCTAAGAGGCATAGATGTGAACAACCAGAATATTCTCTTCTAATAAAGGACAATTCTGCACTCCAAATACCTTATCTGGAAATAACTATCAGAAGTTGTGAAGACATATGCCTTAGGCTATGACATTTAGAATAATGTTGTGAAGGAAACAGGAGCTACAAGAAATGTTCTTCAGCTTGCCTGAACTCTATAGCCAGCATTTTGTGAAACTAGAGACTTCTTTGAAATTTCGAATCATCTGGTTTTCCACGTCTGATTTTTAATATTGTAATCTTGCTATTTTGGGGAAGAACACTAATGTCTGACAAAACACTTGTGGTTCTTATGATTTGGGTTCTCAGGTCTGATTTCAAGGGCATTATTTGAGTGTAAGAGTCATTCAGAGGGTTCTTTTCAAACCATACAACTTACATAAATGACATAAAAGTAATCCTGGTTTGGACTTCTACCATATTCTGTATGTAATACATCTAGTAGTTTGCTTCTGAGTGCTTCTAATGTTTAAACACTAACTTTTCAATCCTTACACCATTTCTACTGCTTGTACAACTTCAGTGGGTACAATGGCAATCAGGGTGGTATTCAATTCAGGTAAAAATAAACTCAAGATGGATTCTTTACTACTGACTTATAAGTGATATTCACATACTCAATGGAAAATAACGTATCTTTGCAGTTTAACAGCCTCTGCTGTTACAGATCTTGTTTGCGGAAAGCTTGTAAAACATTCCTAGAGGACACTATATCTACATCTTTTCACCTATGTATCACATGCTTAATAGATACTGTGTCACCACAGAAACATCAAAGTGGGAGCAGGAAGCATTTCTAAATGGACTTTTATAAATTAAACTTTTATATGCTCCTTCTAAATGGGAACAGAAACTCAGTCTAGAAATTCTTTCTCCTCCCACTCTGATTTCATCAATGCCACATGTTAAGTTCGAAGAGGGAGTAAAGATATTTGGCTTTCTTACAAACAGAAAATAATGTCATATTGTAGATTGTGAGCTGGCACTGCAGCTAGACCATATGTGCCACTACCAAATAAGGGCCCAATCCTGCAGAGCACTTAGCAACTTGCAAGGTTTCAATGCCCATGCAATCTGTCCCTTAGTCTTTACTGAGCTGAAGACAAAACAACTAAGAAATCCAAGGTCTCCCTCACACAGTGTTCTACATTACAATTCACATTCCTACTCTAAAGGCACCTTCACTACAAAGGATAAGGACCTTAGGCAGGTATATTTGTGAGCCCTGAATGAAATTCTAGTAAAAATAATCAGATGTATCAAGTCTCTGGAAGCAAAAAAAAAAACCCCAAAACTTCTAATATCATAAGAAAAAAATCACAGAGTGAATGAAAACTAAGCTATGAAGCACAATGTGATACCTCCAGTTCTCTATTAGATTTTGCCAGTGATACAGTAAATTAAATACACCTGGAAAATTTTGATTTGATGTACTCACCTCAAGGAAGAAGTTGACCAGGTATGGATCCTGTTTCAGCTTTGCACATACTATACAGAGAAACTGAATTTCTTCATTTTCTGTTGGTGTTGCCAAAACTTCACCACACAGCCTGATTAATTTCTGTCATGTAAAGAAAAGTGAATAATTAAGGCAGGGAGTAAGTTAGAGCTTTTTCTAGGAATGATGGACTGAATTCTTTTTCTATATACATACTACTGACTTGAACATTTGCTCTAGATTTAGATCGCTATGAACAAGATTTCTTTATTACTTATGACTTGCATTGCAGTGGCAGTTCATGGCTCTAATCATCAATACATTAAAACTGATATTGCACTCGAGCAGTTTCTTTAACTCACTCAACAATGGAAGAATTAAAGATACCATTAGCTACAGCAGAATAAGAGAAACTTGTCATACAAAAACATAGTTCACTTAAAATTTGAAGAGTACCTGCACTGGCCTATGCACATTTATGTGGGGAAGAAGAGGTTGCCGTATTCTTCCAAGAAGTTTTGTATAAAAAGCCAAAACTTGCTGTTTCATTCCTGGAGGACACTGAAACAAAAACAGATGAACAATAACAAAAATGTAACAAATGCGGAGAGAAACATAGATGCAAATTTGTCACTCAAAATGGCTAATTAAACAGCAATAATTTATCCAGAAGTATTTTTTAAAAAATCATCATCTGTTAACACATTACTTTTATCGATATTAACAAAGATCAACAAAAAATGTTGCATCTCATTAATGTTTTCTTTTTCAAACTATTCATACTTTCAGTTAATTGCTCTAGTGAAGACTTCTACCAATCTTTCCAGGAAATATTCCCTATCAATACAGTGATAAGGGGAAATTAACTCTGAATTAATTGGCTACAGGTCAGCTGTCTTTTACGGTACTGTGCCACAAAACCCAGCAATTCGGTGAGTCGGTACATACAAATATATGCTGATGAACTATAAACATCTTAATGTCTACAAAAGGTTTTTTAAATTCATGAGCAATTGACCTTAGACAGATAAACTGTTTATAAATGCACAGATGTTCCAGGACAAGAGAAAGCCGTTGTTTTCCCTGAGATTCAGCAGAATATAAATCACAAATATCTGTGGCACATCCAGACCCATGTTCTACTGTCCCTCATGCACCATGTCACATGAAAGTACTTTCCTATCTCCATGAGATCTGATGGCTCGTGGTCCTTTATGTACCTTTGTTTCTAGCTAAATCCCCCCTGACTCTAACATGGTCTACCATGTTAATAAATGCTGTTATTCCATAGGTTAGTTTTAACCCACATCATTTCCCTCATCTTGTTCACCGCACAGGTGAATGGAGCATGGGTGGCAACAGCCAGGAATGACAACTGCCTAAGCTGGTTCTCCTTCCAAGGTAATTATCCCTAGATTATTAATCCCTAATTGTCAATGAGCTGTCAAGCAATCTGTTGAAAAGAATGACAAAATGTGTACCATCAGGGTGCATCTACAATAATGTAGTAAGTCTAACTGATTGCTGTGAAGGACTATTATTCTTTTTGCAACAGATCTTTGCAACATCTTGCAAGCACTGCACTGTGTGTTTGCTTCAGATGTATCAACTCACAAGTGGCAAAGTATAAAGACAGGCTGTACAAGAATTGCCTGTACAGGCATATTTGCATGAGTGCAAAATGACTTCTCTCAACTCTTAGAAACATGCTACTAATTACCCGCTTCACATATGGCTCCATTTCATCTTGGTTTCTTGACAAAGTTTATAGATTACTGAACGAGTTGTATTTCTGAGCAAGTATTTTCAATACATCAGGTATCTTAGCCTGATCGTAGGACAGCTGGTATAGTAACCAGAATTGTAGAGCTCTGGTCCTTCCAGAGCAAGGAACATCCCAGTCTCTGACAGCTAGTACCCTACATTGTCTACATATGTAAAATTGAGCAGATTAAAAACTCACGACAACATGTAAAAGGCTGACTGAGAATGAAACCATGGAGAGCTGCATTTATCCTTGGAACAGCACACACCATGCTTTCCTAACTGCATCTGTACCATGATACAAAAAGTTCTAGCACAAGGGCTGCCAAGTTAGTTCACCCTGTGATCCATCCAACCCCATACATTTCACCTCAAAAGTCTGCCAAGAAAGACATCAACAAGAACGCACCAAGACCATGAAGCTAATTTCACTTGTGCCACAAACCAGACATGAGAAGAACCAGACAACATTGCCAAGGGCTGCACTCATACCAAAGACTCAGATGTGAAAGCTCTCTGGGGATCAGCTTAAATTAATGCTTTCTGACATGGAAGTCTTTCTGAGCAATAACTCATCACATTCAGAAAAATCAAACAAAATCTGTATTTAATACACCACATTTCACCCAAGAATCTCCCAACACTTAAGAAAGGAGAGAGAGGGATAATACTGTCTTGTAGAAGCCAGAAAAATGCTAGACTGAACAAAAATGTTTCTCCTACTTCTAGCTTCACAGTCAATATTATCAGAGTGGTAAGTAACAAATCTCAGTGTTCTACCTAGTCAGCATCTCACTGGTTGTCTCACTTTGATCACGTTTGTAAAAAGACTTATTTTTAACATAAGCTAACAGCTATTTGCTAGAGTTCAGTGTCCCACACTACCATCTACTGTAGAACTTTAGTCCCTATTACAATTAGGAGCTCACACAAAAGATAATCTGCTCTGCTGAGAAGTACATACATCAGCTTTTCCTAGTGTGTAGAGTGTCTCCAAAATCTTGTGATGTAGCAAATATTCCATACATGGTCCTGTTTCGCCTGATTCCCTCTCATTTTCTTCTTGAACTAGAATATCCAACATCTGTTCCAGGTGAGATGGAATGTTGGTATCAGTCACAGGAGCTTTGTCATCTAAATAGAAGAGATGTGCAATTAAGAATTATTAAAATATTGTCCTCACTTTTCTTAAGTTCAGTTACAAGTTTAAGATTTAAAAACATGACCACTCATTTAAAGAATCTTATATATAGTATATAATTCTTTTAACATCTTAAATTGAATTTTCAGAATTGTATCTGGAAAGGTAAACTGGAATATGCATTAAGCAGATATCTAATCTTGCAATGGGAAAAAGGTGAAATGCCAAATTTCAAAACATGCATTAATTACACAGTCAAAAAGGAAAACTTTTACAGCCAGAAACCAAGCTTAGAGAGAAAGGTTCAACTCTCAATCTTCCGGTTAGTATCCACCCTGTCTTAATTAACTTCCTCTGACTCTTCACATAGTATTCTGAAATCTACAAACAGCCTCTAAGATCAGCTTAATTTGCAGCTGATCAGTTCCTTTACAAACTAGATAACTAAATAAATGTTTTTTCTGATGGTAACAACAAAGAAAACCCAAACTCTATGCTGTTTATTCTTCAAAAGTTTTTAGATTTGTCTTTTATACTTTCTGCATTAAGATAGCATTCTGTCAAACTTTATGAAGGAAAGGGTAAGACTGATTTCATTATACTAAAGTCATGAAACGGTTGTGGATTTATGGCACTGGCAGTGGGAGTTGGCATTAACATGTTGTAGAGCACGTCCACAAGTGGAGATTTTCCTTTTTATGTTTTTCAGCTAAATGCTACTTGAACAAATATCCCACTAGGGAAATAGTTACTACTTCTTATGCAATAATCTAAAAATAACTGTCACTTGCATGCAAATGGCAACAAGATCACAAAGGAAAACTGCCGTATCAAAGTGATTTCGGTCTCTACCACAACCTCCAGTTAGCCTAGAGTGTTTTGCTTGAGTTTCCTAGGCATAGTTCTGCTCTACTGCAGAGGACAGAAATATATCCACTGAGTGGAAACTTGTTTTTCACAAGACTTTCTGAAAGTCTGGGAGAGAGGTCAGCTTTTATTCTGCACCACATAAGCGCAGGTATCAGTTTTCCCCTACCACCCTGTCACTTCTACCTTAGGAAACATCACATAGCGTTCCAAAAGATGGGTATTTAGAACCAAGGGTCGAGTTTCGGCTTGTAAGAGTAAATATTGATATAAACAAGATCACCAGTTCCAGAAACAAACACAGATTCAATAGCTACTCTAGCAGAAATGCAGAACTAATAAGCTTGAGGATAACACGGTAACATTCACTTTTAAAACTTAATAGTTTAATAACCAGGACCAAAAATTAAAAATATAAATGTTGCATAACTGTTGTAGGAAACCAGGGAAAAGTTTAAGAAAAAGCATCTACAGCCATATTTCATGAGAATACCAATTTTTTAGAAAAGCAGAATAAGGTCTGGATAAGTTTTAACAAAATGTGTTCCAAATCTGCTCACAAATTCATTTTTCAGAGCTATGTTATCAAAATTCCTTTCATGGAGATAAGACACTAAAGAAAAAATACCTAATACTGAGCACATAGAATTCAGATATGTCTGGTAAAATCTATGACCACAAAATTACTTTTGTTCAAATCTTGGGAAGAAAAAGAAAATCCCTGATGCAAAACAATAAAAAGGTTAACAGCAGGGACTACACTTCTGTAGTTGTCTGTTTATATTAAACAGAGTATGTGCAGACAGAAATTGGGTCAGACGTGAAAAGGTACAATTCTCTACATGGTACTCAGGAAAGAAGACCTTCCCTTGATTTTTTTTCATGCCTACTTTTTAAGGGATGAATGGAGGTACATGATATTTTTAATTATTATTATTGTTGGTATTTTGATAAAAGACATGACTCATTTTAGTATTTCTTAATCCTTACTTTTTAATAACACCGAAATTGGGAATTCTAGTTTTCACAATAAAGAGACAAAACCAGAATGTTTTCTTATTTTACCTGACGTCTCTATGTAGTAATGGGTGATTGCTTTCCAGTGGTAAACAAAATCTTCTTGTAATGGAAGGGAAGGTGCGAGCTATGGGGAAAAAAAACCACAACAAACAAAAATCAATTAGGAATGAAATAAACATATTTCCTCAGAGATTAAGCTGAATTTTAGCTTACACTTGGAAGTAAACTGCTGCAGACTAGTGCTACAATTCTTACTCTGTGCTCTTTTACCTTTAACAAGGACTACATATGTTATTCATGGCATAAGCCCAATGTCATACTGCCTAGCTTGTGAACATCAGTAATAATCTCTGTCATGTCTCGATGACCAGACAATCTAGTTGAAGCAACAAAAGCAATTGCTCATACAGCAAAGCAACACTAGAAACGTAGGTTTGAACTGTTTAGATCTCAGAGTTTTGTCCCGTAGGAAAAAACCGTGTTCTTTTACATCTGCTCTTGATGCCATCTTCCCTTTCTGTACGCTCTGTTCTCCTCCCTCCCTCTGCTCCCTTAAAAATACCGATTAGCTGCTTCATACAGTTTTTGCCATGCCTTTTTTTCCTGTTAACCACAACTTTTAAAAGATCTTTGTTTCTTTTTTTTTGCACATCAGGCCCATCCCCAGAGCTTGACAGGTTCTTTTTTTTTAACAAATATATTTCTTATTTAATTTCTGAAAGAAAAGGAAGTTTCTTCTTTTCTGGAGGAATTTGGGATGGCCAGTTGGGCGTGACTAGCATCCAGGAATAATATGCTGCAAGAATGAAACGCAGCCTCCCACCCAGTCAACATCAGTACTGCTCCTTCCTCACTGAGCTTGAGAACTGGGTGCCCAGCCCCTGCAGCCCATTACACCACAGGCACAAACAACTGCTACACCACCAGCAGCATGTGAAAAAAAGAAGGACTACGATCATTTTACCACTCTGCTCTCCAAAGTGAGATTTGAGGCAAACACTGAATTTGTGAGCACAATATAAAATGTTCAGTGCTGGTAAAATCAGGAATCCTATAGGGAAAACCGCCACCAGTCAACATATCATATGAGGGTCTGTTGTTCCTGAGGCATAATCCTACTTGCTTGGGGCCTTTTTTTGACAATCAAGTCCTCAAGTCATTCTTTTATGAGCAATCCTGAAATAAAGGATTATCACTTGACATGATGGTAGCAATGACACCTGTGGGCAAACAAAAAGAATTCCATGTATAAGCTGGTGTGTCCGTTTTGGAAGGATAAGGAGTTGAACCTTCCTGACAAGCTATAGAGTCCAGTCCTTCACAGAATCACAGCGTGGCTGAGGTTGGAAGGGACCTCTGGAGGTCATCTGGTCCAACCCCCCTGCTCAAGCACGGCCACTTAGAGCCGGTTGCCCGGGACCATGTCCAGGCGGCTTTTGAGTATCTCAAAGGATGGAAATTCCACAACCTCTCCGGGAACCTGTGCCAGGTCTCAGTCACCCTCCCAGTGAACGTTTTCGCCCCAGAAGCTACAGATACCACACTTGAGATTAATAACTCTGAATTGCTCTAGTGTCTCCTCATAGGGCCTAAAAAGTGCTGAGTTGCCTCAGTTCTTGGAAAAACAGAAGCACAGGGCTCAGACATGTATACTCTTCACTGGGTAGTGTTGGTCTCTTTGAAAAAGCCTTGGAAGTTTTCCACATCAGTCTTTTCCTTTAATTTAATGACAGTTAAATTTATCTCAGTAAAGACGTAAAGCCCAGTATATGAACAGCATGCCCTGCCATGATAAGAAAGTGGAATGCTAATTGTTAATGACCCTTTGCACACAGGACTTTGAAATGCAAGACTTTAAAAAAGTAGTGGTGCTTGGCAACTATCTACGCCTGCATCCTGTGTGGAAATGTGCCCTCACAAATGGCAACTAGGAAATCAAACTGACATTGCTTATCCATTCCCTGGCAGTCTGTGGACTCATTAAGTCTTCCATACTTCCATGGCTGGGCACTGAGAGTAGCACTTTAGCACACCAGCTACCACAGAATAAATATCAGGACACCGCACACTGGACAAAACTAGTTTATTTTACTATGAAGTTTACTAGTGTATTCAAATTCAGAAGAATAACTGAACAAACTGAAGACTGAGCACACGATATTTCGTATCATGCTTCGTATGTCACACTTGCTGCTGTAGATGTGTATTTCAAGCAATGTAATGATCATTTTGCATCTTTCTGTAATAGAACTATACCAAAAACTCAACTCTGGCTGATGAATGGCACAGAGACCACTTTTGAGGAACACCTAGCCTTTCAGACCACTCTATTTCCAAAGTAACACATGATAGATAACATTAAAGATTTATCCTTGACTGATGTGATTTTCCTCTCCACGTCTTCTAGTTTCATCTGTCTCGAGATGAATTTAGTGCCCCTGAGCAGTGCCAGGAAAAGGATTTCACTTCTCAGCACTGCCAATAATTTATCCGCTGCGGGAGAGAACTGTGGATACATACATTCTCCTTCCCAACAAACGCCTCCAGGGACTCCTCTCAGAGGTGAAAAGGTAATTCAGGGACAGGTCCTGCCCTTTTAAATTAAAATACTCAGTGATTTCACAGAGTCTTCTCTGATCAAGGACTGCAAGACAGAGATACCAAACAGAGATACCATTAGCATATGTATGCACCTATGCATGTGTGTACATGCACGCCTATTGGGAACATATGATCAACCTTGCCACCAAATGGACCTGGCTGTGGCAGCTTCGCCTGCAACTCCTAACAATATAGAAAAATCGAATTTCTTTACTTGTTCAGTTAAAATATCTGCAGCCCCAAATACTCCCACCCCCAAATTCCTCTTCCCACTGCAGATGGACCTAGTATAAATATGCTTTTTACAGCACAGCTATTCCAGGGAATATTTAACAGAGATGTAACTCCAGCAATGCTATGAATTGTTCTGAGAGAAGTGTTTTACTGACAAAAAATGAAAAAAAAAACCCCAACCCTCTTAACTTAGTTATTCAGACACAAAATCGAGGTAAAGACCAAGACTAAGATACCAGCTTATATACAAACAAAGCCCAGCACTGGAAAGCATTAGAAAAATGTGAGCTCCCAAACACGTGGTTGACATCCTTTAACCCTACTAGGACAGGTAATTCTATGGTGAAGTTGTAGTTTCTATTTTAGGATGAATTATTAACTACCAGCTGAGATGAAATATATGTTACAGTTGCCAATCTGAATAATCACTCTCTTGTAAAAGTACACATACTTGTATAAAGATTCTGGAGCAAAACAAAATTCATTGTGAAGGCCATTAATTCCTGCTATTTGTCTAATTTGAAGGAATTACTTTAAAAGTGCAGTTATTTCTCACAGTTATATTAATTAATTTTGATGTAATTACATATGTTCTTACCAATTTTGAGCTATCGATTCCTAATCTGAAAGTGAAGTTCTCCTCCTTTGGGGAAAGAAACCCAACATCTTAAAGATTGCAGTGTAGGTGTTGGTATATCAAATAGCCAAAACTCACTGAACACTACTAAAAAGCAGCGCATTTGAGCAGACATTGATCAGCTCTTCCATCTGGTCCCTAGCTCCAGCAGTCAAGCTTCCTGGGAGCCAGCGAGTAAGTGTTCTCATTTATGAGCTAAACTTAACACATGCTGCCTTATCATTCTGGTGACAATACGTTACTAATGATTGAACCCCACTCCTTCCAGGAAAAGTGCTGTTCTCAGGAGATCTTTGACCAGAACTATAGTCTGCTCGTTATAAAATCTGTCCAAAATACAATTCCACCTAGTTTTCAAAAGTATATAGAATTTGTGTTTAGGCAGGAAAAAAAAAAAACGTCAAGAGAAAAGAAAGCTATAAATATTCAGTATTTAACAGCAGTTCCTTGGTGCATGTAAAAATCAATTGTAATATTTTTCATGGATGCTTTTCAGAAGTGCAATTGAATACTGAACAGAATGGAAACAGCGGAAGATGGTGATACCCCTCAATATCTTTTGGACAAGTTCACAAAGTAAAGAAAACACTGTATAAAAGAATAACAGGTACTGTCTGGTCAGATGTCAGAGTGAAAAAGAAAGCAGAAACTGGGTCAAAGAGAAACAAAAGGGAAGTGCATGCACACTCCCCTGACTGAAACAAGGAAAACTACAGCAGTCACTCGATGTTTTTCTTCGATCTTACTACTTTACTAGTGTGACTGTTTGCCCTGAGGGAAAATCTGAAAAAGGACTAATACTTGAAGGTTTACTTTATTTCTTCAGTTGATGAATGCAGAGTTTATAATGGTCACTACTTTCCCATATAAAATTAAGACTGCACATGCTTGCAAGCCATGCACTAAATTTTGTCATCATAATTTGTTAATAGCAGCACAACATTAAAACATTCAGTAATGTGAGGTCATTACATCAAATAAAGTGGATTCAAGAAGAATAAATCTTGTTCTGAGCAGTTATGCAGTTAACGATTTTGGAGCAGTACCTGTAGCAAGTGACTCAGTTTCTTTCAAAGCTCAGTTTTGCCTCAAAACATGAACAAAAAAGAAGCTACTTAAAAGCATATTAAGGTACCAGTGCAAGAGATACAGTGGAATAATAGGTTGGCAGAGAGGGGTGCCAAAAATGTGCAGCAGACACCAAAATCTAAATTCACTCCCAGATACCAAGAGAGTGATACAAATAATCTTGTTTCACAGCAAATTGCAAAATTCAAAACAACCAAAATCATATTTTTCCTTCTCAAGGTACACAGCTCAAAAACATCCTTTTAAGTTGACTATTAAGATGAAACATCTCCCGAAAGCCCAAATCAAACACAACCGAAAGTCCTTTGAACACTGAGTGACCACTTTACAGACAAGCTATTTTGTCTAGGGAAACATGAGTGAAGAGCACAAGATAAGAGAAAAAAAAAGTCTAACTTGCTGCTTTGTTATTGTACACTACGTTTTGTATGTTGCTGGGAATGTAGCACTCCTGGAATACATTTGGGATAAAAGTATATCAGAAATGCATAGCAAAGAGAAAACATCTTGGGGACAAGCCATATATAAACTGTCACAGATTCATTAACATTAACCCCATAAAGCAACAACATTTCTATTCTGCCCTGAAGTAAGGTAACAGAACAAAGACTACAGTCCCCTCCACCATTCTCACCAACCCACCCAACCCAATTTAAGAATGCTCTGTTACAATGATACCACAGTGGTGCTTGCTCATTTGGATGCTGCAGAGAAATCCAGAAAGGGCAAAAATATCTAAAATACTGGCAGGATTGACATATGATAAGAGGTGGCAAAAATTAGGATTCAGTTATAATGAAAATCAGGAATATGATTTCACATACTTGGACAATTTAGGCAGAAAGGACAAAGTTTTGAGTTATTCAAGGTATGAAAAAGTCTTAATAAAAAGCAACTGGTCCCTTACGTTTGCCTCATCACAGTCCTGTCATGAAGGCAGAGTGGTA